GATGGAAGAGTTTTTGTCGCTTCCAATTGGTCTCCTGAAAGAGATTCTTGCTGATGAAGGTATTTGCGTGGTTATCGAGAGCCTGATTCCGTCCAAAGAAGAAAGAGAAAAGGTCGTGTTGGAAGCCGTTTTGAAGTATGTTGAGCATGATATCGACAACCGAAAAACACATTTTCCAGAATTGTTATCCTTAGTACGACTCCCAACTTTATCAGAGTCTTATCTGGATGAAATCTCAGAGCACAAACTTATTGCAGACTCCAGCAGAGGAATCATTTCAAAGGCTCGTAAGCTGAAAACTGATTCCCCCGAGAAAGATTCAGCCGATGAAATGTGGGCGACCACTCGGGCGTTTGCCAAACCTGCTGTCAGTTGGGGGCGTTCCTTTGCTAATGGTGGCTACGTACATCCTGAAACATCTCATCACAACAACAAAGAGGCTGCTGAAGATCTTGGCAGTGACGTCTTCATAAAGGGAATGAAACTTTGGATTCGACGCTGGGATGGGAGGCCTGTTCTGGGAGGGCTGAAGATTTTTTATAATCATAACGGTGACCAAGAGATTATGATGGGAAGTGACTCTGATCAGTCCGAACACCATGAATTTCACTTGGAAAAAAATGAAAGGATCGTCAAAGTTGATGTTAACTCTGGATGGATGATTGACCGCCTCTCCTTTTACACAAACAAGAAAGATGAAAACGGTTATCCTCAATGTTATGGTCCTTATGGAGGGAATGGTGGAGCATTCTACACTGAGACTCCACCAGGGTCGTATGGTTTCCTAGCTGGAATTGGTGCTGCTGTCGTTGACTCACAGGGTGAAGAAGGTATCACCAGACTTCAGTTTGCATGGAGGGCATATGTGCTTCCTGGTGACCTAAAGCCAAATAAAAGCAGATGCAAAGCTAACGATGGCTTCTATGATGATGAGGAGAGTTATGATGATGATGATTATGACGGTTACGATGACGACGAAGATTTTGATGACTTTGGTGGTATTCTCGTTGCCGCACAATGGTCATAATGGTTAACATAAGACTTTGTCTCAAAGTGATTCCTCAGAAAAAAAAAAAACGTTATCAAACAATTTTTTACCCTTTCCTTAAATGTTTCCTGCATTGTCTTGAAAAATACAACAAAAAAGACAGTTCACCGTGCTTGTTCAATTAAGAGGTATGATGGGCACTAATCACGTGCGGTATTCCATCGGTTCTCGGTACATTTCGCAGAAGTTGGAAGCATGGGTTTTTAAAGTATGGAATAATATGGAACAATTTGTATAAAATTTTTGGAAAAGTCACATCATTTTAAACAACATCGACTTAAAAACTTTCTTGAATTGTCACTGTCAAGGTCATAATTTGCATTAAGTAACAGGCTTTATGCAAGCTTCTAGCTATATTTGTTTTTCTCCTCAACGAATTTTTTTTATTTCTCCGATTTGAAGGGGATAATTAGTACACCGATATTATGCAATAAAAGATATAGGTCACTGTGCTCATGCAAGAGCTAAAGACCATGGTACATCTTATCCATTATTTAAAAAACAATTGTGTGTTTTTGAAATGCATGTGCTTATTTGCCAGTTTATGCGAGTTTTATTCATTAAAAAGGATAATGGTTTACATAAGACTTTGTCTTAGAGTGATTCCTCAGAAAAAAAAGTTATCGAACAATTTCTTTAAACTTTCCTAAAATGTTCCTTCTTATAATAATACAATAAAAAAGATAGTTCACCTTGCTTATTTAATAAACCCTTTAACTCCTAAGAGTGACTAGCATCAGTCCAATTTCTCCTTACAGAGGGTCTCCAATAGCGTTCTTCTTCCCGACTAAAATTTTTTCTTAATCCTGTAATCCCGACGGTTCATACTGGCCAATCCCGATCCCGATCATACAATTTTGTCTTAGTCCATTTCCTAAACTTAGGAGGGCCTTTTCGTTAGGTGGTGATTTTCTCAACCACAGCATTGATCCGTCGAAGTTTATGGTCATCGTAAGACGAAAGTTCATCTCTTTTAATCAAAATAATGATATCGTTTGTTTTAGAAGTTTTCAAAGTTTTGCACGAATAACGTACGCTAGTCCTGGTAACGACCTCCTTCCGTTAAACTTCGATCACGGACAAACGTATTAATACACACAGGTCGGGATCAAAGAAACAAATACTTGACGGTTTTGAATTGCTTAATAATTTTTACAAAGCAGCTTAACAAAAACAATGAAGTTCAGTCCTCATAGCTACATCAGCTCTGGCAGATGTACAAAACTTTCTAGTATTGATTGTGGCAGATTCATTCCGGCCCTGAACTGCGTGATAGTGACAATTTCCACGACCACGAATCGAACTGAGGCATTTTAGTCCTCTCCGGATGTATTAATAAAGAAACAAAGCTATGCTCAGCTTCGAAAATGAAGGTAAAATATATTGCCTTTGATCGCTTGAAACCAACGTGATTAAACCGAAAGATCAGGATTTCTCTTGGTATAAAAATCGTCTACACGGCCACTGCTAAGGGACTGTGGACTTCATCTTTGGTCAGCTCTCTCTCAACGAAGAGCAATCTGGAAAATTTTAATGCAAATGATTCAAGTCATGGTTCCGAACTGCTGAAGGGACTTTAGACCATGTACAGAGATGGCAGATATTCTGATATCCTTTTGAAGATCAGTGAAGACGGGCGGCTTTCAGTGCATCGTGTTGCTCTGGCTCTGTTAAACCTTACTTTGAAGCCCTTTTCAGGAAAAATTGGAACAATGGAGAGAAAAAAAAATATATGACTGATATATGGTTCATCTGGTTTGGTAGATCAATTCATAAGATAAGTAATTTAAAAGATCTTTTATTTTATTGAGGAGGGTGAATAGGGGTATGCAAATCCGTCAAGCCGTTAAAGAAAATTGTTTAATCCGAATCCGTTTGCTACTTGTCACGTGGAAAGGTGAAAAACGTACCTTGAGCTGTTGTGTGTTATAGCTAAACAACTTTAAAAAACGTTCTGACACTTTTTTATAGGATCTTTAACCGCTAACTAAAAGATCTACCTTTACATTAGGAATCTGTTGTTGATCCTGACTTGTCGTCCAAAGCGTGTCGTGGCCCCCTAATAGGAAAGTGGACCGTCTGTCAAGTTCAGGAATGCTTGAATCTCCATCTTCTGGTTCCTCGTTTTCATCTGTACTTGAGTCATACTCTGGGATCTCCTCCACATTCTCGGGGTTACTGTCGCCTGTTTCAACTTCCTCCTCATTCTTGTTTACTTCAGAAGACTCCAAACCGTCAGACAGGGCCAAGTCGACTCTGTCTTCGGATATCTGAAGCTGTCTCTGGTAAATCGTTTCCATTACTAATGATGCGTTGAACATTTATTGCACATAAACCCATATCTGTCATACTCGAGTTGTTCATTATGTATTCTCTTTTGGAATGTGAGTCTGCTAGGAACACAGGCTATCTGCCAACTCACGCGATTGCCTGAATGTGCGCCGTAGCAAGAAATGGTCCATTGTTCCGGGTCAACTTTTCCATTAAGCATCAAACAAAAGTCCGGAGTTATTGGTCTGAAAAGCTCGTAAAAGCTCGTAACTGATCGAGAAGATTATCGGAGTAACAATTTTGCTGCACTGAGGGAGAGGGTAGTGTAAATATGCACTGGTACAATTAATCTCCATTGGTGTACCCAAGGGTAGACTTGACCCTCGTTTAGCGCATCGAGCCAAAGGTTCGAAAATTCAAAAATAATTTAAGTTATCCGTATTGCAGTGACTCATTTAAACCACCTCTCTCTATATGTAAGTCAAGTCGCCTGGTAAAAAGTCAACGGACAAATACAGTTTTTGGTCTTACTACTGGTGTTAAATGCAATCGAAAGTGACGGTTTTCTTTGGGGAGCCTCGAGGCGATTAAAGACCTTGTTTCTGACGCACAGCCGTTTTCAAACGAGGCGCTCATTTTTTAGAACCAACATGTTTACCAAACCATGAAGTTTACTCGGTGTTTGTCATGTCCAAGTGATGCATATTCTTCCTCTTTCCTCATGCTGGCCATAGTTCGTTATTATTTCCCTGATGCGTGACATGAAGTGAGTCTCGTCCGGCCGTGACAAAAAAAAATACACATACCCAGAAACAACGCATTTCTGACAACCTTTTCGATCCACGATTCGAACTTCCTCGCAAGCAAAATCCAAAATCCGGACCCAAAAAATTGATGAAACTGCGAATCGCTGCAAGTTCAGGATCCGCAAATCCGTTGAAATTTCGCTCTGAATCCGAAATCCGAGCAAAATAATTTTCAGAATCCTCCGATCCGTTGGCCTATTCACAGGGGGGTGAATAGGCCAACGGATCGGAGGATTCTGAAAATTATTGCTTCATTGCTTCCCTGACGTCGAAGGAGAATAAGCAAGAAGTAAAATGTGAGGCCAATTTCATTCGAGTGAGATCTGGTAACTAGTCACCCCGACTTCCGCTTTCGACCATGAGCAAAGACTCCCAGACCTCGTTGGCGAAACCAAACATTAGTTTTCCCTTCTCGGAAAATCTTTAAAATGGCCATAATATTAATCTGGAAATTTTAACGCAAAAGATTAAAGCCATGGTTCCGAACTGCTGAAGGGACTTTTGACCATGTATTTCACCTGAGTGTGAGATCTGGTAACTAGTCACCCCGACTTCCGCTTTCGACTAAAATCTGAAGACTTTGCAGACCCCGTTAGCGAAACCGAACATTTTGACTTTTCTCTTCTCGGAAAATCTTCAAAATGGCCGCAATGAAAAGAGGTTTACCTTCTCTGGAAAGGTATTTTTCGACGGATATGGAAACTTTACATGCAAACGATCCAAGCCATGGCTGTAATCTTCTGAAGGGGC